TTCTGAAAGCCCTTAGCTCAGCCCTGTCTGTTCTCACTGCACTGCTTATGGTAACAAAAGTATTCTTGTCTCCACCTAAAGGACTTTGTCTCTCTCCTTGAGCTGGTCCTTCAAAACGGAGAGGTTTTTTTGAATTCTCCATACCAGAGTTAATTGTTCTTTTCCTCAGTCTTTATGACTGCTAAAACAGAAACAACTCTTCCAGCTCTAGGGAGGCTGTTGGGTTTTTTGTGAGGATGGTGGTGGCGGGGGAGGGGGGGTTGAGACAGGGTATCTTTGTGTAACAGCTCTGGCTGTCCTGGAACTCAATCTGTAGACCAGGCTGGCTTCGAACTCACAGAGGTCCACCTTCCTCTGCCTCCCGAGTGCTGGGATTAAAGGTGTGTGCCACAACGTCCTGGCAGGGAGTTGTTTTTTAATATTGCTTTAAGATTTAAGTTCTTTACATTTTCATCCAAATAATAAATCAGATAGCCCTAAAGTCGATTATTACTTACTAGGCAGGGATTTATGAAGTAACCTACGCTATTCTGGAACTGGCAATTTTCCTGCTCCTCCCCTTGAGTGCTGGTGTTGCAGGTGTCCACCACCAGGCTGGCTAGGTCTAAGACTTCATAGAAATGAAACATAGCCATGTCTTGTCCCATTTCTGAAGCTCACTGCCAAGGGCAGTCACCTTCAGCTTCATTATTGCTAAATTAAATACATTTATTTATGTTGTTTACTAATGTAAACATTATGTTGTCATTTCCTCCTGGTGTAGATGAGTATTTCTGACACACTATTTCTCTAACCATTTAATTGTTCCTTACCTTTTAATCTGATAGGACTTGTGAGTCATTTACAGTAAATGCCTCAAAGCACACATACTTTGTTTTGAAAAGTAACTTTCTGTGTGATTCCATAGCTGTTCAGTATAATCCCCAAAGCCTAGATTGTCACTTTTGTCATACCTGGACTCAGTATAGTACCTGGTGCATGATAAAAACTCAATTTTAAAAAAAGATTTATTTTTATTACCATTGTTTTGTGTGTGTGTGTGTGTGTGTGTGTGTGAGAGAGAGAGAGAGAGAGAGAGACAGAGAGACACAGAGAGAGAGAGACACAGAGAGAGAGAGAGAGAGAGACAGAGAGAGAGAGTGTATATGGCATGGCATGTGCGCAGGTGCCCTTGTGGTGCAGGAGACAGTGTTAGTTCCCCTGGAGTTAGAATCACAGGTGACTGTGAACCCCTTGACATGGATGCTGGGATCTGATCTCAGGTCCTCTGTAAGAGCAGTACATATGCTTAAGTGCTGAGCCGTCTCTCCAGCCCCCAAAACTCACTTTAAAAAAAGTATTACCATATTTGCTGTTTTTGTTGTTTGTTTGTTTGTTTTGTTTTTCCAGACAGGGTTTGGTGGTGGTACTGGGGCTTGAACTGGAGGTGGTAAGTAGTACTCCACCATCATTTAGCCTTGGTGTCAGACTGAGCTCATAGCATTGGAGATTCTTGTTCTCCCCGACCCCGGAGTCACACACACAGTCCCTGCTCGCTCATCAACAGCCAGTCCCTGTTGCCAGCAGCATGTGAGAATCACCAAGCGACTGCTCTCCTGGTAGAGTGGACAACATTCTCCACACAGATGAACTCGCTTTCCTGCTAATGGCACGGTGGAGAATGCAGACTTGGAGTAATGTCTGTCCATCTGTTTCCACAGGCAATGGCAGCGGACAAAAGTGATGAGTGGTTTGCCACGAGAAATAAACCGAAGGCTTCGGGTTAGTGGAAGCCGTGGGAGAGCAGCACTTACACCTGCAGTCTATCATCTGAGGCCCAGCACGTCTGTTTACAATAAATACCCCACCACTTAGTTGTGTCCAGCACAGACAAGGAGGCTTGTGTGGTAGTTCCACTCTTCAAAGCTCTGTTACATTTTAGAAATGAAATGTTATTTTTATCACTCTTGGTAGAGGTGAACTCCTGTGTGTAATTGTATTAAATTGGTAACAAATTGTTGTCCAGACTGAGACAGCTCTATATGGAACATTACCCTTGGCTGGGGATGGAGGAAAATTTCATTAACTGTCAATCATGTTGTTAATATTGGAACAAATGTTCAAATGAAGCCAAACCAGCTGGGCATGGTGGCACATGCCTTTAGTCCCAGCACTCGGGAGGCAGAGACAAGAGGATCTCTGTGAGTTCAAGGCCAGCCTGGTCTACAGAGAGAGACCCTGTCTCAAACAAAACAAATTAAAAAAAGCCAAACCAACTGCTTAGAGTGCTGATGTTTCCAGGTCCTGATGGATCTTACCATCGAAGGTCTTGACATTTAAAGAAACTTTTTTCCTTTGGCTTTCCAAGACCATCTCCCCTGATAGCACAGGGTAGCCCCCTGATAGCACAGAGTAGTCCCCTGATAGCACAGGGTAGCCTGTCCCTTCACTATGGAACTCAAGGTAGCTTTTAACTTCTTCCCCTTGAGACAGAGTCTCACTTTGTAGTCCTGGCAGGCCTGGAACTGTGTCAACTAGACTGGCCTCAAACTCTCAGAGACCCACCTGTCTGCCTCCTGCTGGGATCAAAGGCACAGGCCACCCTACCCAGTGGCTTTGCACTTTTGATCTTCCTGCCTCAGCCTTCAGTGCTGGGATTATAGATGTGTGCCACTATTCCAGATTTGATGGGGTTTTTGTTTGTTTGCTTTTTAATAGATTTTTATCCTGGGACTGTAGCGATGGCTCAGTGGTTAAGAGCACTGGTTACGAGCTGGAGAGATAGCTCAGAAGTTATGAGCACTGTCTGCTTTTCCAGAGGTCCTGAGTTCAGTTCCCAGCACCCACATGGTGGCTCACAACCATCTGTAATGAGATCTGATGCCCTCTTCTGGCATATGGCAAACTTGCAGAAAGAACACTGTTTACATAATAAAAAAAAAAGAGCACAGGTTGCTCTTCTAGAGGACCTGTTTGTTCCCCTGCACCCACATGACTGCTCTGTCTGTAATTCTAGTCCCAGGGGATCCAGCACCCTCTGAGTGCCTCTGAAGGCACTCCATATGCATGGTACACATACATACATGCAGGCAAAACACCCATGTACAAAAAGATTAAGAAAAGTTATCCTTTGGATAAAAAATATCTGGGTAATTCCTCACCTTGATTTTATATTTTGAATAACTAGAGAAAATAGGAAGTGTTTAATGAACAAAATATTCAATAAGTCACATTTCTGTGGGCCTGGTTCTGTACTATTTTCTTTATAAAATGGTTTTAGTCATCTTTAAAATGGATTAAATTATATCTTCAGCCTGAAAAATATGTTTTTCATATTCTGGTGATTTTTCTGTTTAGGTTAATATAGGAAGTTGGTTTCAAACATTGAAAACAATTTTATTGAGTGCATTTGTTATTAAAGCTTTTTGGAAAGGATGGTTCTGAAATGAAGTTGGGTTTGTGTTTGTTTTTTGGTTTTTCGAGACAGAGTTTCTCTGTGTAGTTTTGGTGCCTGTCCTGGATCTCGATCTGTAGACCAGGCTGGCCTCGAACTCACAAAGATCCGCCTGGCTCTGCCTCCCGAGTGCTGGGATTAAAGGCATGTGCCACCACCACCCAGCTTGTGTTTGTTTTTGAGACAAGGTCTCATGTAGTCCTGGCTAGTCTGGAATTCACTAAGTAGACCCTCTAATTCACAAGGAGAAAAGAGGACTATTTAAAATTTTGTTAACTCAGCTTGGTGGTGCACATCTTTAATCCAGCACTTAGGAGACAGGGGCAGGCAGATCTAGATCTCTGTGAGTTCAAGGCCAGCCTGTCTACAATTCAAATTCCAGGACAGCTAGGGCTGTTACACAAAGAAACCCTGTCTCAAAAAAAAAACAAAAACAAAACAAAACCCAAAAACTTTAGGGCCCACAAGATAGCTCTGTAGGTAAAGGTGGTGGCACAAAAACCTGGCAACCTGAGTTTGCTCCTTGAACCTATGTAAAGGAGAGAATCAACTCCACAGAGTTGTGTTCTGACCTCTTCATGCACGCTTAGCATACTCACTCCTGCCACGCCTACACATAGTGTATACACAATAATAAATAATGTTTTAACGATAAAAATATACTTTATAACCATCAAGGTGGTTCATGCTTGTAATCCCAGCACTCAGGAGGAAAAAGCAGATGGATCTCTGAAAGTTGAGGCCAGCCTGGTTTACACAGTGAATACCAGACCAGCCAGGCCCTATCCCCAAAACCAAAATAACCAAAAAAACAACAAAAACACCTTTAGAAACTTGCTGTTACATGATTAGATTTGCTAGGGATCAAACCCGGAGCCTCACACATGCCAGACAAGTGACTGTATCTCAGATGGAGGACAAGTTTTGAAGAAAAGTATTGGAAAATGCCATGATACTGTAGAGTCCTTCAAGAACTCTAGCACTTCATATGCCAGCTTCCAGGCACCATGGTAGCTCATTGATGATGAAATGGTTGACAGACAGTGTTAGTTCCCCTGGAGTTAGAATCAGGTGACTGTGAACCCCTTGACATGGATGCTGGGATCTGATCTCAGGTCCTCTGTGAGAGCAGTATATCATATTGTCTGTCAGGGCCCCAAGCAGAAACCTAGGTTAAGAACAGCAATCCTAAGAACATTTAGGATGCTAACTAAGCCTTAGATGAGTCTTTCGGAGGCTAAGATTCTGAAACCATCTTGCTCCATTGTCCCTTGGCTGCTGTGTTGTGATGCATGAGTTACTTCACCACTGTGTCACTGAAAGTTTGAGTTCATCAAAATACTAACTTCTCTGGGCCTGTGGTCTAGACCAGGACTTTTCTATTTGACTTTAGCTCTTTAGAAGGCAGAGTCCTGGAGGCAGAGGCAGGAGGATCTCTGTGAGTTCGAGGCCAGCCTGGTCTTCAAAGTGAGTTCCAGGAAAGGTGCAAAGCTACACAGAGAAACCCTGTCTCGAAAAACGAAAAAAAAAAAAAAAAAGGCAGAGTCCCCTCTGTACTGTTGGGTTCTTGGTGAGTTGACAGCCCTTTAATGATACAGATCCAAGGCCCTGCCTCCACTTCCAACCTTGGTCATTTTCATAGCATGATTCCCCCTACCCATCCCTTCTTCTGCCAGATATCCATCCACATAGGCTGTGGGACTAGGAAGGCTGTCAATGCCGGTCAGACCACCCAAACCCAGATTAATGGAGTTTTACCCAGCAGAGAGATGCTTTTGCACATTTGAACCCCTTTCCAGGACCCTCACAGAGTTTCTTTTCCAACAGACTCCACTCTGGTGCGGTTCAAGTGATTTATTTGATGTCTCCGCTAACCCTGCTACCCTTTCAGTATGTTTCAGCCATTAGGAACTCTTAAGCCCATTCCCTACCAGTGGAGCCATGTTATTTCTTGTAGCTGCCAAAATGTCCTTAGCAAGGCTCCTTTTTCTTCAGCTCTTCCACTTTGGCAACGTAGATCCTCATGGCATCCATCTTGGACATCCCTTTGTTCACATTCCATGCCTCCCATTTGGCCTTTGCTCTCACATCTGTGGCTGGAGGGACAGGGATGTTACAGTCGCCCTGGGTGGCCTGCTTGTAGAAGCTGTACACCAGCAGTTTCTCCTGATCACTCACGGGACCCTTCAGCTGTTTGAGGGAAGCGCAGGCCATTTCAAATTCCACTTGGCTCATTGGTGCACCAGAGGCTGGGCCTCTCTGTTCTAAGTGATACCTGGTACTAGAAGAGGGTTGGAAATAAGCAAAGCAGATGATTATTAGGCCTTGGAAAGAAAGGGCAAAGAGATAAAGTGTGAGAACACAGGACGTTTGTGTGTGTGTGTGTGTGTGTGTGTGTGTGTGTGTGTGTGTGTTTGATAAACTACAAGTTGCAGACCAGGAATCCATGCGATTAGTCCTGTCCCACAGTGCTTTTTCCAGTAGGACTGTCCTTCAAAGTTAACAAAGGCATCTATGAGCCCTGAAAATGGACGTTGACGTTGCCCATAGAAGACCGTGCAGCATGAAAAGCACTTGGGTATTTGTGAATGTCTCTGAGGCTGGACAGAGAGGGGTGAGTCCCGTGGATCTGCTGCTGGTTAGTGGGCAGCCTGGGGAAGGCCATTCCGTAGGAGTGAATCGTGGGCGGGAGCTGCCCGGGGTTCCTGGGTGAGGGTGAAGGAGAGGTCTGGACTAAAGGCCTGGACCTCCTGCCCTCAAGAGGCCAGATTCTGCAAGGAGCCTGCCTACGGTACCTGAGGGTAGACGGCTGGGAAGCCTGGGGCCGAGAGGGGGCGCTGTGGGCTTGGGCGGCCCCGACGCCGCGAGCTTGAGGAGGAGGACGGAGTACGCGTGCGCACGGAGCAGCACCCGGCCAGCGGAGTACCGCACGGAAGCCCAGGCGAGCTGTGGGCGGGGCCTGTGACGCCGCCCTTTGTGCCGTGGCGTGGGCGCCGCGTTCTTGGCCTCGGAGTGGGAGGGGCGGCTGAGCCCCGCCGCCAGCTTCGCCGCCATGGACTTAGGTGGGTTCGCGTTTCCCTACTCCGGCCCTCGGGCCGCGCCCCGCAAAGCACCTCCAGGGTGAGCCGAGGCCCTGCGCTCCTCCAGTGGCGCTCTCCGGCTCCGGCTCCGGAGGCTGGGGGTTTGAGGGGCTTTTGGGGACCCGCGGCCGCGAGGCCGGCCTCCAACCCACAGCCCGCCTCGTGTTGGTCCTTCTCGATCCCTCCTCCTTCTCCTCGTGGTCTCTTCCCACTGGAAAACAGCGAGCGAATGTAGCCTTGGATCCCCTGAAAGTGCACAGGGCCACTGCACGTGTTTCGGAAATGCCGGGCTGGGAGGGACGGACGTCCGGACCGGTCTTCCTTATTGAGTGAATGCGAGTCAGTGAACAAGTTTCTTAGCAGGTCTCCTAGTCCACAAAGCAGAGATGCGGATACTGTCTTCCTCCCAGAGGCTTGGAGTTTCTTTGAGACCTCGTGCATAACTGGGCGCCTTACGGTGTCTTGTGCACAGGGGTGCCCCGCAGCCCTCGCTTGCAAGCGGGAGTTGCAACAGCTGAGATGGCACTTTTTAAATCTGGGTGCCGTTTGGTTTGGAGTCTCCTCCTAGGCGGGGTCTGGAAGGAGAGCCGGCGTTGATAGAAATCTGTGGCCAACTGCCAAGCCTCCCCACCCTATTAGGTGTGCTCTTTAGAGGGTAAGATGGGGAGGCTGTCCTGGGAGGTACTCCAAGATTTGCAAATAATACGCTGTGGAGAAATGGCTTTGTCCCTAGCCAGCTCTTTAGTGTGGAATGGTAGTTTCGTGCCCCGCAGCTGTGAAGAGTTCTGCCATGACTCGACTCCGCTGGTCCAAACACTCTGTACAAATTGTGCCTGGGCCTCGAGGTTCCCATCTCTAAAACAGGAGTGATAATCCTCAAGAAGTTAGTTTGATGATTAAATGATTATATAGGTGTAAAGCTGGGTGTGGTGGCTTATGTCTGACTGGCACTCTTGAGGCAGACGCAGGAGGATCTCAAGAGTTCTAGGCCAACCTGGCCCAAATAGTTTCAAGCCAGCCCTAGCTACGCAACAAGATCCTATCTCAGAGAAAGAAAGAAAAAAAAAAAAAATGTATGCCACCAAGCCCAACCCAGTGCCTGCCAGAGTAAGCAGTCACTTCCTAGCACCAGCTACTGATAGTCTTTCAGTTTCCCCTAGCAAGTCTGGGACTTTGTCAAGCACATGTACACAGTGTCTGAAAGGCACATGTTTGGCGGCAGACATCTGCTCAGCTAAGCTGATAAATGCAACAAAGTTGAATTTATAGTCACAATGGAATGGTGTTGGGGGCAGGCAGAACAGCCTGAGCCAGAAAGAACCCCGCCACAGCAGCCTAGCTCTGCCCGACTGCTACTGTGGAAGCCAAGGTGCATTGCCTTCAGGCCTGGATTTAGTAGTGCTGATCCTTGCCTTTTTTTGGGGGGTGGGGGGGTAAATGGTTAGTGGCCAAGAGATTAATTAGTTGCCTGGAGTCAGTGTTTTTTTTTCCCTGGGGGTAGGGGAGGTTTGAGACAGGGTGTCACAATGTACTTTGGCTGGCCTGGTAGAAATCTGCCTCCCTAGAGCCGGGATTAGAAGCATGGGCCACTGGAGTCAGTATTTTTGCTGCTGACTCAGTGACCTATAAGAATGTCGAAGATGTGTTCCTGGGAGCATGGGGGACTGAGGGAAGGGTTAGGCATCTCTGGGCCCTGGGAATGGGTGGGGGTTGTCGGAACGGTGGCCGTGACCTGTTAGTTGTTACACTCTTACTTTAGATTCTGGGCCAAGTTTTACGCTTTGAGAAAGAAAGACCTGCGTCCTTTTGTTTCTGTGCTGGAGGAGATAAAACAGTGACAAGATGGTCCTGCCAACAACTGGCCATTTAAGTCTGGCCCTTTATGGGCTGACCATTGAGAGATACATAGATCCCTTCCTCTCTCCCATCCCGAAGGATGTTTCCAGAAGATAGTTCCACAAGTGTGATGCGCGTATGTTGTGTCATGTGACTTTCATGGTTATACCGTGAACATTATAGTCTCGTGTATGTAGACAGACTCAGCAGTGTGCAGAGTCACATTTTTGGAATGACTGAGCTAGGATTTAAATCCATTTGTCTGATTAAACTCCCATATTGCCTTCCTTTTAACTGTCTGTATCAGTTCTTAGGCCAGTGAATGACGAACTGCTTTCCTGGGTCCTGCCATAGAGCCAGACCCCTCAGTAGCTTGTCCATTTTTGACTGGAAGAAATTGCTGGGTGAACTTTTTCCCTGTAAGGCCCGGAATGTTGAACCCATGAGCAGTACAGTGTTTAGGAAGAAGGGAGGCAGGGCTGGGAATACAGCTCAGTGGTAGAGTGCTTGTCCGGTCTGTGCAAGGCTCTGGGCTCCAAGACAAAGGCTCAGCTGGGTGTGGTGGCGCACGCCTTTAATTCTCAGGAAGCAGAGGCAGGCGGATCTCTGTGAGTTCAAAGCCAGCCAGTTCCTGGTGAGACCCTGTCTCAAACAACAACAAAACTAAAACAAAACAATAAACAACCCCCCCTCCAAAAAGAAACAAAGACTGTACATCATCAGTGTTGGGGCTCCATCTGTGTCACCACGTGTCACAGAGCTCGGGTTTTGTTTTTTAATTATTACATTCTGTGTGTGTATGTGTGGGGACCATCGGTGGAGGTCAGAAGACAGTTTGTAGAGGTTGGTTCTCTCTTGCTGGATTAGGCCTAGGGATCAAGCTCAAGGTCATCAGTCTTGGTGCCGATGGTCACTGAGCCATGTCACTGGCTTTTGTCATGTCTTCCAATACATACTTGGTGACACTGTCCCTCAGTCCTCTACCTCCTGTAACCTCACACTCCAGCTTTCCTCTTGACACTTTGCTGAGGGATCTTAGTCACTCCCTTGTTTTCCATAACTGAGTATATTCACATCAGGCCTTTTCTCCTTTTTTTTCTTTTTAAATTTATTTATTTATTTTTCTATTATCAGCTTGAGATATATATATATATATATATTTGGCCTAATGTCGTTTATTGAAGGAAGGAGGAGGTCTTAAATACAGGGTTACAGCACAGTGGGAGAACCCCGGAGGGCAGAAGTTCACTACAGATGTTTTACAATCTTGCATCTAAGCTGTTAATGCCCATTATGTAGGATACACAGACAAGGAACTTCCCTTAAGCATTTAGGAGGGTGGAACCCGGCAGGGAATTAGCATAGGGAGGATATCAAGGTCAGGCCTTTTCTCCTTAACTCACTGCCATTGCTGAAAGATGGCACTACATGTTCTACCTCAGACTCCAGGTACCAACACTGAACTTGCCGTCCCTTTAAGCCTGTCCTGGGGGCCTGGAGAGACAACTCAGTGGTTAAGCAAGAGCACATAAGGTTCTTGTAGAGAACCGGAGTTCAGTTCTCAGCAGCCACATCGGGTGGCTCTCAGTCACTTCTAACTCCAGCTCCAGAGGCCCAGATAATTCAAATAAATATAAAATACTTACAAAGAAATTTGGAAGCCTGTTCTGAATCCCTCTCTGCCTCTTTCCAGGGGTACCATTGTCCTCCTGATTTCCATTCTGGAGATCTTAGGAACTGGGTTTTATTCCTCAGCCAAGTCCCTATGACCCCAGCCCTTCAGGAGCTCTTACTGACCGTGCCTTCTTCCTCTTCCGTTGATGTCAGGGTCGTCTTTAACTTGATACTGATGGACAGTCAGCCAGTGGCTGTTTCTCTTAGCCTCTGCTTACCGTTCTGAAAACTTGATTAACTCTTGGCTTCTCTGTGCAGGCCCCTTGAATATCTGTGAGGAAATGACTATTCTGCATGGGGGCTTCTTGATGGCTGAACAGCTGTTCCACCCCAAAGCCCTGGTACAGTTGACAAAGTCAGACTGGGAACATGTGGGGCAGCCCATTGTGGAGGCCTTGAAGGAGATCTCCTCATCCACAGCCCATTCCCAGCCATTTGCCTGGAAGAAGAAAGCACTGATCATCATCTGGGCGAAGGTTCTTCAGCCCTCCCCTCTCAGCCCTTCTGACACTGATACTCGGTGGCAGGAAGATGTGTTCTTCTCCGTGGGCAACATGATCCCTACCATCAACCACACCGTCCTTTTTGAGCTGCTTAAGTCTCTGGAAGCTTCTGGACTCTTCATTCAGCTCCTCATGGCCCTGCCTACCACCATCTGCCGCTCAGAACTACAGAACTTTCTGGAACACTTGACTATTGACACTTCTTCCAAGGATGTCGCCTTCTTCCTGGATGTCTGGTGGGAGATGATGAAGCACAGGGGTGACCAGCAGGACCCCTTGCTTTCCCAGTTCAGGATGATGGCCCATAAATACTTGCCATCCTCAGATGAGTTCTCCCATCCTCCAAAGAGGTTTAAGTCTGACCCAGATGTAGGTCCCACCATGCCGCTGTTGGCCATGCTGCTTAGTGGGCTGAAGCAAATCCAAAAGAGAATCCTGTGCCTCGGGATGAAGTGTTGTGCATTAGCTAACTTGGCTGACATGCTGAGTGTGTTTGCACTGATGGAGGATGACCCCCAGGAGGTATCTGCCACCATGTACCTAGACAAACTAGCCACAGTGATCTCTGTATGGAATTCGGACACCCAGAACCCATACCATCAACAGGCCCTGGCCGAGAAGGTCAAGGAGGCAGAGCGGGACGTGAGCCTCACCTCACTGGCCAAACTCCCCGGTGAGACTGTTTTCATGGGGTTTGAACTTATGCACAACCTGTTGCAGGAGTGGGGTACAGAACTGCAGGACATGCTCAACAGCAGTCAGGGGACAAATTATGACACCTACCGGCTGTGTGACAGTCTGA